CTTGTGGCAGTGGTGAAGCAGGTGTTTTGAGCCAGTATTATTATCTAATAGAACCTTTAAATAAACTCATCTATCACAGGTATTAATGTTTGGGCAGCAGTTGCCCAGCTGTGCTTAGATTGTGACTTGCACCACCTTGCACAGAAAGGCCAGAAAAAAGTTTCCCTGTGGCTGTTAATACGCTACTGCAGGTGAAAAGGCATCTTTTGACAAAGCGAAGGTGGGAGGTGAGGTAAATATGCTGTATTAGCTAATATAAATTCATGCTGTGCAAATATCCCTGTGGGCTCCAAAGCAGAACTGGTGTTTGAGGAGGATTCCAGGTGGTCTCTTGGTGATGGAGGATGAGAGGGATGATCATCTGATCAGGTATAAAGGGTTTAGCAGATCAAATGCTTTGCTTCAGTCAAACAAAACCCCAAAAAAGGGCCTTTAATTAACAGACTGCTTAATGAAGAAGCACAGAGAACAGAAATGTCAGCATTGAACCTGTGTTCCCCCCCCGCCCCCATCCCCCATCTTCCCCCCCGTGAGAGGTTTTGAATCTTTGTGTATACTTGCTTTATCTTTGCAGAACAGACACAGTTCTTTCATAGGAAAAACTCTGGAGATGAACACTGACTACATGAAAATATCATCTAACAAGCATGGTTTTTAAAATGGAATTTTAACAGAATATTGCTCAAGCAGGCCATGAATAGTAAGCAGACATATAATGCAAAAGGAGACCATCTTAAATGAAATGGGTTTCATTAGTCAACCTTTAAACACACTAGTTATGGATAAACTTAAATTATGTGTAGCATTTATAAGCTTGTTTTTCTACTGGTCCTTCTAGCTTTTTCTGCTATGGATTCATACTTAATGTAAAGTTTTCAGAATCACTCTAGATTTACATGCATACAGTTTTTTGAAAGGTTGGGATGATAGATAATCTTTTAATTTAAAGTATGTATGTTCACATACAAAAAATATGTATGTTTACATACTACTATGTTTAGCAGTATGTCTTGTTGGAATTAAAATCTAAATATAAAAATCAAATGATCATGGAAGCTGCTATAAGTGGCATTAAAGTGAATAAACCTGGGTCTTCAATTGCATGTGAATTCATTTAAATAGTCTGCATCTCAGTGATCCTACTGTTTGCACTTCCAGTATGTTTTTGTTTTTGCTTTTTACCTTTTTAATATTTATGAGTATTTTTTATTTACTTTTTTTTTTTTTTTTTAATGAAATACAGTCTGATGGAGGCCTTAAATTATGTTTGCTACAGTTCCCATCTCTCTGAGAAAATAATGATAGATCTGTATCTTCCGAAGGCGCTCAGTAGATGAATGAACTGGAATGTATGATCTATACAGAAGCCAGACGGATAGCACATAATTGGATACATGTTGTATCACGGTATATAGCAACAGACACGTGAACCTCTGGATGGTAATGTCCATATACAGCAACCTCTACTGTAAGTGTATCTGTAGTAGCTGCAAGAGCAAATTTCAACTGTGTTGCACTAATTTCCACACCATTGCCTATGTCAATTTTTGGAAGTCCAAAATATTGGACTTCCATATATGTCCAACCTGGTACATATTGCTAGGTATGTGTAAAGGGTGAGAATCAGGGGAAGGAAGAGAATCATTACACTATGTTACAGATATATACATGTTTGTATCATAGACAGAGCACTGACTGTAAAAAGACAAATGTACTTAGACATTTCTGATGATGAAACATCATCAGAAGTTTCCCTGCACTTAAGATTTAAGGGAAATCTGAAAGTGCACTTCAGACTTATCCATCAGCAGTCCTCCCATATATTAATTTGTCCATTTTTCTTCTGGTTGGGTTTTCTGTTTCTAGATTTATTTATCTACTTCTCAAATCTGAATATTAGTTTTATCTTTTTCTCACTTATATATTAACAAGAAAGGAGTAGGTCTAGATCTCCAAAACAAATCCAACCTGGAAGTCTTCCAGTCAGATCAGAGTCAGCAAAGGTGTTCCCAGAATTCAAACCTATATTTAGCTTCAGATGCCAAAAACATCTTCAGAACAAAACTCCCAAGAGTTCAAAACATATGCCAATACATTTGCACTAATTTGAATAGCAAGCCATATTTCTGTACTGGGGCTGAGAGTCTTAAACCAATATTGTGGCTTGAGGATTATTGTTAGTTGAAGAAAAAATATTATCTACTGTTATGTAGGCTGGTAAGAATTTTTAAATCTAGAGGAAAAACCTTAGTAGAAATAGCAGAAAGGAACAAAAGAGGGGGAGGTGGGACTTCAGGAAAAAGTCACATCATCCTGCCCATATATTCTGTTGACTTCTTAAGGTTGTCATACTCTCCCTGCTCTGCTGCTCACTCATACCCATATGGGTGAGATGCTCAGGTGGAACCTAACTGAAACTCAGTTTTGATTTACTGCTTTCTTCAGATGCCTGACAGTTAGGCTGCCTTTTCCTGAAGGTATCCGTGTGTGACTCTAAGTTCTGTGGACTTTGGTGAAGATCAGACCTGGACCTACTGAAATAGGCTAGAAAGTGGAGGTCCTAATTCTTACTTTGTACTGGTGCAAGAAAAACCTAACTCCATTGAGATAGGAGAATTAAGCCTTTACTGAAACTGCAAATGAAATGAGAATAGGTGTTTAGTAATAATCTGTATAATGGATAATTCAAACTATGACAGTAGGCATTAAAGGGTGAATTTTAATCATATGGTCCCTGTAAAATAATATTTTTTATGATAAATGCTCAGAGAAACTACAATGAGCTAACAGTTGCATGTATATCAGCTTAGATAACAAGATCTGTTACTGAAAGTGTAAACACTGTCTGTCTGTGAATACAGTGCTGTTTGTATAATCGAAACTCCAGAGGGGACAAATTTGGTTTTAAGGAATTGGCAATAATATTGGCAATACATTCAACCCTTGATGTTCAAAAACTCCTGAAATTGGCCTAAAAATGGGACTTGACAAATAATCTTGGTATCCTTACATTTGCCTTCTGAGCCATTAGATTTGGATCAAATACTGTTTTCAGTTATATAATCCCAGGACTCTAGTCCTTGCAGTTTGAAAAATACCTGTTATTGTCTGCCTCACAATGCAACTGTAGGAGCTGGCAATAACCTAAAAGTGACACTGAGTCACTGAGTCACTAGAAAGATAGAATCCAATTTTATATTTATTCAAAAAAACTGTTATTCAAACCAATAGGACATCGGTGAAGCAGATGATTAAAAAGGAAAAAAAAAAAAATCCTTTGATAGCTGAAACTAAAACAGATGCCTAGAAACACAGATATAAGAATAGTCTTGGCCAGCTTTCAGCTGCAGTCTCTCTCCTGCCTAATCCAGTAACTACTAATTCATTAGGATGACCCCTGAGAGGATTAGTCTGTATGAGCCTGTACAAAGGCCAGAAGTGGCTCTTGGTTTCATGTTGCTGCCAGTCAACAAAGGCGGAATGACTGCAACCAAGGCTGGTTTCCACGGCAGCCCTGGTGCCATCCTGGCATTAAATAGCTTGGGCTCATCTTTGTCCTCACAGAGGCTGCACAATGCAAGCATTACTCTAGGTTGAAAAACCTGATGCTTGGACCTCCATAGAATATGGCAGACTGTGGTGGTTATGGGGCACCATAAAGTCTCCTCACTTGCTCCCTGATCTCACACTAACTCTGCTGAGAACTGCTGTCTCCTGTCTCTTCTTGTCCCTCACTTTCCTTGCACCTCTGCCCTCTTCTTCTGTTCTTCTGCTTTTTTTTTTTTATTTTAATTTTTATTTATTTATTTTTTAAGATTTAATCCATCTAACATCTATCCTGGCTTTTGGAATCTTCTGATAAAAGGAAGGATTGCTTTCCAGCTGAAGCAGAAAGCAGCACATACAAACAGAACAACAGGCTGTATTAAACAGAAACCACTGCATGGGCACTGGGCAGGTGGCTGTGAAATGTGTGTGCATGCACATACCCACCATGTCACATGTGCTTTCTTCAATCATAAAATAATCTGGTCATATGTCCTGAGCCAGATCTTAAGCTCCCTGTACATGTAGCTAGATTTCTCATGATGTAATTCAAATTTAATCTAAATTCTTCACACTTTATCTCTTTACATGCCTGAAGCCACTGTGTTTCTCTCTTCTGTCTTTATGGGCCTAGCATGGTGCCCATCTCCACAATATCTGAGTCTCTCCCAGACTATTTCAGATTATCACCGCATTTCTGATCAATACTTCTATTTCTTTTACATGTCAGAAAGAGACCATTAAGGCTGATAAAGTGACACAAAGTCACAGCTAGGATATACTGCAGAGCAGCAACTCTACAATTGTGTCTGTACAAATGCAGCAGTGCTCCTTGGCTTTAGTGTAGGCTAGTCAACTGAAACAACTGCTCTTCAGTCTCCTTCAGACTATTGTTAGATTTTTAGTGCCCTAATGAGAGGCAGAAATATGGGCTGGCTACAGAGAGAGTTGGGTGTTAAATTTTAAAACCCAGATGGGGAAAGATGAAAGATGTACTTACATTTATTTATCAATGTCAGAAACTGGGCATGAGAGTGAGGAGGACTGAGTTTTTCTGAATGACACACAGGGACATGGTGGTTGTCTGTCAAGAGTTATCAATAAAATGAGAAGTTGAGTAAAGGGGACTGATAAACTGCCTTGTGTGGGTGTCATGAACAGCCAGCTTGGAGAAGAGGAGCTAATAGATGTTGAGAGGGGAAAAATGGGCAAGGAGGAACTGGCAAACTGTGAAAAGAAATGTGAAAAATACAGGTCTGGGAGAACAAAATAGGTCGATAGAATAAAGTTGTACAAGGTTGGATGTAAGGTCCCTACATAGACATTAACAACCCTTCAGAAACTCAGTGTTCTCTGGGACAGTAGGGAATTTTTTTTTCATCTGAAGTTGATAAGTAGCTGACTAATCTTTTTTGTTGTTGTTGTTTGATTGTTTGTTGTTTTCCTTCTGGTTTAGGACTAATAGTAGTGAAGCTCAAGAGGAAAATATTTTGATCAAGTGACCAGTCTATTAGCTGCAATGCAAGTTTAAGCCTCATGAGGTAAGGCTGGCTTTATGCAGTTACAAAAATTCAGTGTGCTTAGAACCTTACACTGAGAGGTAGATGTCTGAAAAAATGTGTAACTTTTTTTCTGTCTTCTGCAGCACTGTGTAAATTATGTATAGTAGCACAATATTATTCCTGGCAAGACTTTCCTGTCAAGATATTGCTCCTTGTAAATCATTGTAGAAGGTGAGAAACAGATGCTTTTGTTGCTAAGACAGGCTGCTCAGGTCCCACCGAAGAAAAAGTTGCTCTGAAACATCTTGACACATTTGGGAACTTTCAGATTGCTTTGTACTTTGTGTGGTAAAGGCATAGTATTTTGGGTATGGTGCACCCTTGCTTAAAATCATCAGCTTTCTCAATTCATCCTAATTGAAATCTGGTGCTGGGGTCTGTGCTACAGCTGTGCTTTTGACATTGCTCTGGCAAGGGTTCCTGGCTCTGCTCACATTCCTTCCCTTCACTGTTGCCCTCTGGAGGAGGAGAAGGTGTTTGTAGAAATAAGCCCTCCTTCCCTTCCATCCATCCTTTACCTAGTCATCAGCATTGTAAAATCCATAAACAAAATGTTGCCTGCTGATTTCAAACCTGTAATACATTGAAGATCATCAGGTCCCCATGATACAAGATGTTTAAGCTACAGCTGATTAACTCTGCTCCATTGATTTTTACATAGGATTTGGGGAGAGGCACAGGCTGCCCTACATATATGGGTTATATCCAGAGCAGTGAGAGTGATGGTATAGAACAGCAGAGGATGCTTTGATGACTTTTCTTAAATAATAATAAAAAATACATTTTAAGGAAACAAAGCAAATCCTGTAGGGCTCCATCAATGGTCTTATGGGGCGGGGTATACACTGTCATAATTCTTCCCATGGCAGCTCTTTCCAGATCTTCCCTGGAGCTATTTCAGTAATTACCTGTTTTGGGTGCCTATGATATTCATAACATGAAAGCACATTGTTTTCACTACAAAAGAGCTTCTCCACCTCCTGGTGGGCTGAAACTCAGGGCCCAAGTGTGTCAACCACTGTCACAAGGTTGGTCATCCAAGAACAATTGATTTCTAAATGTGCCTGAACTTTGGGTGACCTGAAATATAGCAGCAAGTATTACAAGCTGGGACATCTGGTGGACAATAAAACTTTTTTTTTTATTATTATTTATTTTTGCATGAAGCAGCTGTACTTGAGCAGATGACCAGGGGCTGTGCAATCAAAGTGTGAATAGCTGAATTAGCAAATTGTATTAGTCTTCTTAGGCACTTATTTAAATGCTGCATGCTCCTTTTAAATTTTGCTTTATTAACATCTACCAAAAACACAGCAGTGTTGGCATTATGGTTATTAGTGACTTATTTGCTTCATTAAAATTTACAGCACGTTTTACATTCACCATCTGGGGCAGCTTCTCCCATGTTTATGGTTAAAACGTAACTTAAAGCCAGACCTAATAGTCTAAAATAAAATATTTTATAGATAAAACTCTTTTGTTGGGTGCCAGTTCCCTTTTTTTCTGTAGTGTCCTTGTGCATAAACAGTATGCCAATTTGCTTAGTCACTGTAGTACAACTTAGTGCTAGGATACAGACAAATATTTCTGCTTTCAATAAAAGACGTTGTTGTAAGGAAAGGTTGATTGTGCTGTTACTTGGAAAACCACAGCTTATGGAGAATGGCAAGAGGGAATTAGAGGATCTTCAGACTAAAGGACCTTCTGGGTCACTGAGTCTAAACCCCTGCTATTGCAAGTAACTACTTGGATAATCTTTTCAAAGGGATGGAGAAAGAATAAACAGTGCAAGAGAAATGTGAACATGTTGAAAGGCAGCACATATGATCACAGCTCTGACCCCAAGCTGATGTGCCACTGCAGTTTCCAAATTTGAGTTGCCTTGCTGCTAACCACATCAGAGTGTGGGCAGAGTAGATCACATATGTCTTCACTTAACAGCATACACATAACTTTTAATTCTTCCTCCCTTTTCCTGCTTTTCTTTACTGGAGGATAGGAAACCCACTTTCTTTTTTCTTCAGTGGGAATTTGGAGAAATTGTGTGCTGAGAGGGCAGAGTGAAGGTAGGAGGAGAGGAGCATGCATTGTACTTGTACTGAGAACATGTGTCTTCCCCACCATTTGGAGTCTGAAAGAAAAGTCAATTCAAAATAGTATTTCTCTTGTTGTTGCCTATTGGGATGCTGAACATTGAAAATTCATTCACTATTTTTTTCCCCCTTTTTTTAATTCCCAAAGGAAACCTTCATTCCCCACAAGGCCAAATTAAAATATAAATACATAAAAAATACAAAATTTTTGAGTGTTAGACAGCTCTGTTAGTGTCCAGGTCTTCCTCAGGTCACTGTCTGAAAACAGATCTGTGTGGGACATCCAGACAGACATGTTCATGTATCCCAGGATCTTACAGGCTTACATGTGCACTTGCAACTTCTCCCTTACCTCACTTGGATTTTAGGTATGTATCTCATATGATAGAGGAGTGGCAGTAACCTAGGTATAATTGGAAATCTTACCTTTTATGTGTGTGATTTCATACTGATATCTCTTCATGACATATTTGCAGATCCTTGAGATTTCAGCATCATCTTAGAATTGCAGATAAATGAGTAGACATTAGAAAGGTCTACCCTTGATGCTTCATTCCTCCCTTGGCTTCAGCATGCAGTACATCCAACCTCTTCTCTTATTTAAACTGGTTGATGTGACTGATGGATGTGTTTGCTTTTTTTGCTTTTTTTTTCCTTGCAGCTCAAAATCAAGTATTTTCAACCCATGGTTTACAGGGGAAGCTGACTATAATTACTTCAGAAGGGAGAAAATTATGAATATGAAAGACTAATAATAACCTGATCAATTCCTTAAATTCTTCTCTTTGAAGCACATTTCCTGTCTTGCCACCTTTGAAATTCACATACTGGTAAATTATGAATAAACAAGAAAGGAATGAATGGAACACATGTAATATTAATTGTGCTGCCTAAATTCAAATGGGGAGTAATATGAAAACCTCCAGTCTTTCCGCTCGTTTTTAGGATATAAAGCTGAAATTGTGCTTGGCCATTTTTAAGTATAAAACTGAGGGGATAGATGTTTTACGATTCTTTAATCACAATCCTGTAGTACAGAAATAAGATACGCACTGATATACACTGCTGTCACTGCTGTTCTAAATAGTATAATGCTTACCTGTTTTGCTTTATAACTTCCAAATTCCATCTTTGCATAAATTTTGAGGAGTAGGACAGGAGCAGGGGAGAGGTGAAGAGGAATGACTATACAGAAGAAAATCAAACTAGACCTGATCCTTTCTCCTCTAGATTTAGCATAAAATAGGAGCCAGGAAGTTTCAAGTTCCTTCTGTGTCTTCCAGGGTTGTGATCTTGGACAAATCATTTTGCTGCTCTACCTTTCTCCTGTCTTTCTCTCCTTTGTGTATTTCATTTATTTGGATTGCAAATTCTCTGGTGAAGATATGCTACATTTGTTTTTTTCCAAAATTTTGTATGCATACAGAAGAAAATTTTTCCTTATGTCAAAGGTGGACACTGGGTATACTGCTCCCCTGTTTTATATGCATAAAAAGAAAATACTAGCATCTTATTCCTGCCATGGTCTGTTGGCAGACTCCTTCAGCTATGTCTGTTTTATTCCTTTTGAAAGCCCTAATGTGTTCCTTTAAAACCAGAATTTAAGAACTCCCTTCATCTGACATATTACCTTATTTTCTTTGCTGAATGTTCCAGAGCTGTTTTGCCATTAAACAAGGTAAGAAAGGAGTGATGAACTTCTATGGTATTACGGTATTCCCAATACTGAAGAGCCTTATAAGAAGATCTTTTTTTTTTTTTTTTTTTTTTTTAACAGAAGAAAACATGCCAACCCCTGCTGCTTAGAGAACCTTATTCTTTTGGAAGAACATACTTCTTTCAGCAATTTTTAATGACATTTAGAATTCAAACTTAAAAGCACCAAGGCACAGAGGTCTTTGTGACTGTATAAAAGAAGATCTTGAGAGAAAGGTTTTCAGTTTTCAGAAGTTCAGAGGACTACAGAAAGCTGACTGGGGTGAAAGATGAAATTCTGGTTCAAGGCAAGCTAATGGGAATTTTGCAACAACGTTTGCAACAAATCAAAATCATTGTCTTTACGAGTCAGATTTTTTTCTTGAAACAATATTAGACATACTCCCAGAATTAATCATCTGGTGCTTGAAGAAAACATTTACCTATTAGAGTGTCTTTTTTCTCTGTCCTCTCCTCATTGTAAAACCTGCATGTCTATTTCTGCAGGACAATGTTTTCTCAATGCTTTTAAAGAAAAATGTGAATTCCTTAAATGAAGAGTTAAGACATACAAGTATCTTTTTTTCCTCTTACGTATCTGGGAGGATTATACAGTCCCTCCTGAGATCTCTAAATGATTAAGAGAAGAAGGGCACTTTTAGCCAATATCTTTGCATGACAAATGGTTCTATAACTAATGGTGACCTGGAGACCAGTGCTACTTTTGACTTTTCCTCAACTGATAGCTTTTTTTTTTTTTTTTTTCTTTTTTTCCCCTTTCTCTTCCACATTTAAGCTTTTGCTGTAGGGCATTTGAGATTGGACGGGGGAAAATAAATTGTGAGGTTCTTTGCCATTATTGTAAAATTAAATCTTGGAGATCTTTATGGGGTCTACCAGCAACTGTTAATGAGGCTTTATTAACCTTGGACAATATAGCATGAAATATTATGGTACAAATAAATGTAATGCCAGGGCCAAGCTGCCTAATAAATGGCATGATAGAGGAACCATATGCCTAGAGGGTTATGACATAGAACCTTTCCCGTCTAAGTCACTATTTTAAATTCACCATGGGTTGGCAGTGACTGAAGGCCGTTATTATCTAGTGGCTTTTAAATAGGCTATGTGAAATAAAATGGAGGTCTCGGTTCATTTCCTTAGGGAGAGAGGTCCATGTTCCATATGACA